GTAGAACTGGCACACTTCTCTTCGGACCTTTGAAATTGCTTTCTTCTGGGGCCTCCCTGGTGGCACAGGCAGTTGAGCACCTCACTGTGAAACTGTCTGCAGCCTCTGCTGCGTGGCTTCGATCCCCGCAGGCCGGCGAGAATCCCACATGGCGAAGCAGACCTCTCTTGTGTCACCCGCTGTTCCCCTCAGCAGTGTATTTTGGCAGTCTGCCTGTTCTGTTCCCTGCTCTGTCTCTGGTTAATCCTCTCACCCTCCTGCACATTTGTCCTCTACCCCAGTTCTTGAATTAAAAAAAAAAGAAATTGCTTTCCTCTGCTTTGAATTTTCCTCTTCCAGGAGTCTTCTTGTGTCACTCTGCTTTCTCTTTCAGGTCTTTAGTCTGTCAATCACATTTTCAGTGATTCCTTATCTGATAATCCTATTTAAAAATACATCCCTGGGGCCTCCCAGGTGGCACAAGGGGTTAAGATGCAACCTATGAAGCTATCCATGGCCTCTGCAGCACTAGTTCGATCCCTGGCCAGGGAGCTACCCACATGGCGCAGCAGACTTCTGCTGAGCCTGTTGCTCCCCTCAGCAGTGTATTTCAGTCAGTCTGCCTGTTCTGTTCCCCACTCTGTCTCTGGTGAATTCTCTCACCCCCACACCTCTGGCCTGTACCCCAGTTCTTATATGCATAAATAATAGATAAATTTTAAAAAGGGCCTCCCTGGTGCTACAGGGAGTTAAACACCACACTATGAAGCAATTCGCAGCCTCTGCAGCATGAGTTCAATCCCCGGCCAGCCAGGGAAAAACCCACAAGGTGCAGCAGACCTCTCCTGACTCGCCTGCTGCTCCCCTCAGCAGCTTACTTCAGTCAACCTGCCTGTTCTATTCTCCATTCTGTCTCTGGTGAATCCTCTCACCCGCTGCATCTCTGGCCTATATGCCGCCAGCTCTTGTATGCATAAATAAATCTTTTAAAAATTTTTAAAAAAATTTTTAAAAAAGTAAATTCAAATTAAAATAAAAATACATCCTTGGCCTCCCTGGTGGTGCAGTGGTTAAAGACACAGCCCTATCAAGCTATCACAGCCACTGCAATGCCAGTTCAATGCCAGGCCAGGAAGATACAGCCCACATGGAACAGCAGATCTCTTCTGACTTGCCCACTGCTCCCCTCAGCAGTGTATTTTATCGGCCTGTTCTGCTCCCCACTGTCTCTGGTAAACCCTCTCACCTTACACACCTCTGGCCTATACACCAGTTCTTGTCTTCATAAATAAATAAGTCTTAAAAAATATATACATCCTCAAACCACCTTATAGACACCCCATCCCTCTTTCCTGTGTGTCTAACTTACTCTGTATTTGTTGATCTTTTTCGGTCCCCCTACATAAGAATTAACTCTCTGTGCAAGTGGGATATTTAATTTTTTGTTTACTATTGTAAACTCACTGACTAGTATAAGTCCTCCTGAGTAGTAATCAATAAATATTATTTTTAATAAACTCAACTCCTGGGTAAAATAGTCAATAGAAGATGCAACAAAATGGTAAATTGTTTTCTTTTTGTCAAGATTGAAAAGGACAACAAAAGTACTTATAATTTAGACCCATAAAAGCAAAATAGAAGCATTAACTCTTCTTTCAGTGATAACAAATATATAGTGGACTGAATCATTTTATATAAATTTTGCTTATGATGTTATCAAGAACACAATCATATTTATGATCTTAAAAGTATTTGGAATTTTAGAGTTGATGGTAGGAAAAGAGACTGTCCCTGGTTCTCTGGGCATCCTGACTAAATTATTCAACCTAGGGATCAGAGGACATGAAAGAACACTTTTTTTCTTCATGTCTAACAATTTGATCTAAAAGTATGAATTTCTGATCTTTCATGTACGATTGACAGTCACTACAGTTCTCATTATACTAAAATACTGTATAATACGTATTAGAATGTAAAATGTTTTTATAATATTTGTGATCCCTGCTGTAGCCAAATATAGGAAATTGAACAAGATATTCATGATGTTGATTTAACAGATTTGGAAATGGCGACTCTAAAAGTAAAATGAATTGGTGACTTCACTAGCAGGCCTGAGACCTAAGATCACAGCTTTTTTAAGTTAGTGCCTTTTTAACCTGCTCAGGGCCTTTTCCACTTACTTGCACGGCATCTTATCTGTGGCTGGACTCCCAGCACTCACCCCTTTGAAAGGAAGGATATATTGAATTTTTCTCTGGGCACAGAGTAAGGTTATTTGATACAATCAATTTCATTTCTTGAAAAGATCCCTTCATCTTTTAAAAGCAGTCTTTATAAGGTTGAATAAAATTATAACTCATTCCTCAGTTTGAGGGTGTATTTTTTACTAGCTCAAGAGGAACATGAATCAGCATTCATGGGCAAGAATTGAAATGTTACAAAGGTTGCCATGGGTTGGTCATTGTTTAGCAATAAGAAATTTGCAAATGGGTAAGTGAGGGGGAAAAAATCGAAGAAAACCTGTACTAATTTAGGATGAGGAACCCAATTTATCTCATACATAGAAAAGTGAATTACAAAATGTAAACTGAGATGATGCATCATGCTTATTCTCTAGGAATTAGTGGGTAATAAATATTTGGAAAATTTTGTGAACAATAGCCTTGGCCAAGTAAGTAAAAATGTACATTTAGCATAACTTCTCTTTTCTTCAGTGTTTCTATTTACAAAATATAAGTAATACTAATTCTTAATTTGGTTGCTGAGTGAATCCATGTAAAGTACCTAGCATACTGAATCTGTTCAAAAGGTATTGACTATTGTGTTAAAGACTTTGAGTGTTCTCCCATGAAAGAAACCTCTATAAAGGCCACCCAAGCCAAACCTCCCATCAGGAGGACCTCTCAGTTGCCCAATATATTTGTGAGAATAACTTTTTTTTTTTTTTTTAAATTGGGACTTGAAGTTACAAATGATGGCATTTGTTATAAAGTATTACTATAAAATAGCTATATTATATGACATCTATAAATCTTAGCCAAGTGGAAACTTGTCCTTGGAGCTTTTCCCTCACACAATAGAACCTGCTTTCAATGTTCCTCCTTTACTCTCCCTTAACTACCTGTGCTCACCCATTTCACAAGACTTGCTTGATGGAATAATAATTTCTTGATGCAGTGTGATTGTCTTGAAGGCTGAGTCAGTGACTTTTATTTATGAATGCCTAATTGGTAGCAGAGCTTCTGGCACACAACAGGTGATTGTACCCAGATAACTCTCATGTTCATTTGTCATGTTATGTATTGTCTGCATCAGGAAAGCACGGTCATTTAAAGCTATTGCTTAGTGATACCCTTTAAATATGTATTTGTCTCAATCACTTGCTTTATCCTAAAATCATTCTATGTGGATGGAATTATGGGACCTTATTTGAGTCTTTTTCTAAGCTATTTTCAGAGGTAATAATGCTTTATTTCCTTAAAACCTTTTAAATATTAGATAGTAAAATTAAGTACATCTTTGACCCATTGCCACTTAACTATGTTAATACAAGGAATGTTTTACAATGTCTCAGCTCAGAACCAGAATGAGCCAAGGACAGTTGAATGTGTGTTGAGACATCATACTATATCTTGAACATTTACTTTGGGACCTGTGCTCTTGATATGATGATCTTCTTTCAAGATTTCTTGATTTTTAAAGGTTAAGTGTTCAGAGAATAAGACTCAGAATTATTCCAGCCTCTGTTCTCCAACACATTAACTACTATGCATGCTGCCTCTCTAAAGTGAGATAAAAATTCAAAACACAATGGATGTTTACTAAGTACCATACAATGAGCTAAAAGTTTTTCCCCTTCAATCATCAGATTTTGGAAAGAATCTAAAATTCTATCATCTCTATGTTGTAGAAATAGAAATGTTAAGTATATTGCCTGATATAAATACATCAGAATACAGATTTGAGCCCAGATTCTAGCATGTACTATATAACAAATTATTAGTTTTTGAATGAATAGCCCCCATTATAAGTTTGGCCAAATTTTAACAATGTTGGATACACAGAATAAAAATAAACTGGCCTTAAGTACTTTTATCCACTCAGAATTAGTTCCTAATGAGATAGGTTTGGAAATTTTATTATAGGTTTAAGCTGGTCTGTTTTCACCAAGACAAGGTAGTTAAAACTGGATCTTTATGCCAATCACAGCCTTTCTAAGTTAAAATCTGTTTTGACCAGTTCAAATTGGATTTATTTGCTCTTAACTATTCGAAGATTCTGAAATGTTTAGCTAACCATATTGATTTCCCTAATTTAAGTTAATTAGAATCAACTCTTATTTTGCCAGTAACTTACATATATTTTACTCAGTTTTAGATTGCCAAACTTCATATGGTCAAAAGAGCAGTGGGGACCACTTAGTTACTTTTGTGGGTATTTGTACTTATGCTGCTAGTCCCATAAGATCTGAAAAAAGTGACGTGGTCGAAAATTCAGGAAGTGGCGCATAGATTCCCCTCAGAGAGATACGTCGTAAGCATGAGATGTATTGTACTCATAAGACTTTTAGAAATCTAGTATCTTATTCATAGTTTCTCAACAATTAAAAAAATCTTTCTATGGAAATGGTATTTTGGAAAACATTAAATATACATTGACCTTTTAACTTATAACTAGTTTAAAGAGATCTGAAACCACCTCTGAGTAGTTCAATATTGTTTAAACTGGCTCTGACCAGCTTTTAGTAGTTATGATTAAATTCTTGGGAGCGTCTAGCATTTTTTTAAAAAACATTTCAAAATAGATTTAATCAGTCAAAATGCATTTGAGATGTGCAACTTTGTACTTATTTTCTTAACATTTCCCCATGGATTGGCAGTAAATTTTCTACGCAGTCTGTAAAAATAACTCCAGCATTTTGATGAACAAGGTGAATAGCAGCCCATGGATGGTATGACAGATTATCTCAGATATATAAAACTGTAACCCAAAGACAGGTGTGTGTATGAGCATATGTGCACCTGTATATGTTGGTGGGGTGGGAATGTGAGGTGATAATCTCATCTTCAAAGTGAGTTTCTCATCCATGTGGCCAGAAGGAGAAATCAGGTTCAATATGTTAACAGGTATTTGGAAATTATCTTTGACATGGCAGTCATTCCAGCTCCTGTTAGGGTGTGGCTGGCAGAAAGTGTGCGAAACAGGTCCTCACTGGGATTTGGTATGTCAAAGTTCCACTCATGGAATATCCTAAAATGTCAATAAAAGACTCTTTATTCATAAATAACTGATATGCGGCAATTTACTTCTGTACATTTATCTTGAAAAGTCTGTTACCATCCAGTTTTTTTTTTTTTTTTGCAAACTCTACATAAAACATCCAAACTGTTCATTTTGTTCAATACAATATAACACAGCTGTTTGGCATTACCAAATATATATGTATATATATTTATAGATATGTACATGTGCTGAAAAAGAAGCCAGTGCAGCCTTTTCTAAGAAGTCCATCCAAGTATTTACTGTACAACATTCAGAATTTACATTGATAATACAAGGCACAAAAAGTGTGGTATGAAGCCAAGGCCATGCTTTATTTAAACTCTCAGCTCTGGCTTGCTCACTCCTTCAGCTTCATGTCAAATTAGTGTTCAGTTTTGCTTTTTTTTTTTTTTTTCCAGCTTTGAATACATCAAATAAAAGTTGAGAGTGGTATGGGTTTTGAGATATGAATCACTTGAAAGAACACCCTCCCCACAACGCACCTTCCCAAAATAAACAGAACAAAATGAAATCTGTTTTAAAATTCCTCCATACAGAAGTGAAAGTAAACAATTATTCATAGAGTTTGGGTCAGGAGAATAAGCCAGTTTTACTCTAATTGCTTGTATTTGCAATATTTCTAGGTCAAGACTTACTGGATTGCCTCTATCAATTAGAAACAATTATGAAAAACGAGAGATTTTAAGTAAGTCTTTATTCCAGTTTAGAAAAGGGGAGAAAATTGTTTTCCTGACCAGAAAATTCCCACAGACTGATTTCCCCTCCCCCCTCCCTTCATAAAGAGTTTCGAATGGGAGTGGCCAACCTAGTTCTTACAAGACAAAGCTTGGAGAGGGTTTCTAATTGAAAATTTTACAGTTTCCCTCTAATGAGGTTTAGATCAAAGCCTCCTGGTAAAGGGTGATCTCTCTTCACCATCACCAGAACACATTAATGGAGGGATATCAGAATTATTAGATCTGTTTTCTGATTTTGTAATGTCTGTGTTTCAGTAATGGGGTCATAAGGCATGATTTTTTTTTTTTTAATAAACACCCCTCAAAAATCCCTTTTCATGATTCAACAGAATCATTGTTAAATCTCTCCCAATCTACTGTTATCTGTCAGGTTTTAAGGGAATTGTATAATTCAGTTCTGGAATTTGTATGTAAATTTTTTTTTGAGGTTAGCAAAATTTGAAGCAAAAGGACATTTTCATTGTCATGCCTTTTGGAAAGAATTGAACATTTCCATTCTCGTAAAAATTTACATTATCAAATTTAGTGATCACTTTCATAATTCAAGGCTATAACTTTTGGGGGGAAGAAAGTTGTACCCCTTACCAAACTCAATATTAGGGGCAGAGGAGGAAATTTTTAAGTTTAGGCCTAAACATGAAGCTTACTGCCTTTTTATATCTTTGGGTTCAGATGGAGGGTAGATTCTAAGACATGAAAGTTTTTGTTACTGTCTTAGGCCCACCTCATGAGGACATTCCAAATCTATGATCTTCACAGCAAAAGGAAAAAAGCAAAGTAGCTGCTTCAAAAACCACAATTATTCTATGTGAGTTAAATTTCCTACTTCAGATCACAGTACTACACACTAGTGACTAATGGCCAGGTCTGATTTGCATCCCCTTTTATCTTTTGAAAAAATACAGCATACAAATAGCCATTCAGATCTTGTTGTCACCCCTGGAGTGGGGATATGAGGGGTCCGAGGTAGACACTGGCTCTCCTAGAATTGCTTTTGCGAAAAACACCACATGCTGTCAATACAGCCAAACAGCTTTATAACTGCAGCTTTTGAAAGAGTTTGTAAAGTAAAAACGAAATATGCAACACATCTAAGAGTAGTAACATCTTCACTTTGTGACATTTGACAAAACACATTTTTGCTTGTAGTTCAGGAAAATTCTATGCAGACAAAACAGTGGAAACTGCGGAAACAGTGGCCATTCAACTTTTGGCTAAAGCATCGATTTTCAAATACAGAGCTATGGCAACGAACACCAAAGGGCTAATAAAATTTTGTCATATCTGTAGGACAACATTTTGCTCTCCCATTTGCTGTGCATGTTACCTCTAGTCCCGATAATGGGAGTTACTAAGGATTCAGAACTTTGCAATGTTTCATGAGGAAAATTAATGGAAATGAGCCACACAATGGGCCTGAGAAGCAGGTTTCTCAGTGCCTCCATATGTTTCCTGTGACCTTCACAGATCTGGAACAAAGACCTCTGAAAGAACTTCACCTTCAATACATCTGATAGCTATATTAGTCAACACCTTTACAGAGGGTCTAAGGAATTGAAAAACAATAAAAAGAAAAACAAAAAAAATTCATCAAAAGATAATGTAACATCTTGAAATTCATGTATTTTGCCAGAAGTTTGGCAAGCAGAGGATACTATCTTAAAACCAAATAATGTTCAGAAATTGTCTACGAAAATACTTGCAATAAATTTAAAACTTTTAATCCAAAGAGAACCCTGTTTTAGTGATTTGCTTAATGTCCCCTCCTAAAGCCAACTGAAAGGAAAATATAGGGAGCATCACACAAGATAACAATGGGGATAGCAATGAGGATAGTTCCCCTCTTTAAAGAGAACTGTGTTGATTCCTATTCATCTCTTACAAAAAAGTCAATAAAATTTTTGTGGGAGTACATCTGAGTTTTATGACACTTTCTGCACCGGTAAATGAAGTTTGCATTTAAATTCATAAAGTGAACTTCCTTTTGGCTTAAAAGATTTTAATGTAAACCAGTAAGACTGCACAAGCAATGTTATAAAAACTGTAAATTAACTTTATGATGCTGCAATTTGGGGAAGCTGTGAAGTGCACCATTTTGGTGGCATAATTTAAGTCATGTTTAAAGCATGACTATTAGACTTAAATACCTTTGAGGACCGAAAGATTTGGCATTAAGTGGAATATTTTGTAAAAAAATTAAGTAACCTACCAAGTTATTAAAGGCCACTTTTAATTTCTTGGTTCATTTTGCACTAAGACTTTGAAGTTTTCCGCTTGGTAGTAAATCTCTTTCTAGACGGGTATCTATGTGGGAGTAGGCTAATACTAAAACAGAGTAAGGGCTTGAGTCACAGAGAGTAACCCTAAGTTCAAATGCCCACTAAGTCTGTATGACCTGCAACTTCACGCTCCTTCTACCACAAACATACATACATACACCTTGGCCCATAAATCTCACAAACATGGGTTCTCTTTGGAATTCTATTGTAAAATACTGTATGATATAAACATGCAATGTCCACAGGATTTCATACATTTCTGTAGAAATCCTATGTGGGATACTAGCAGAAATAAGATAAATGTAAAGAATGAGCAAAATGAAGTATTTGAACCTTGTGCTGAAATCACAGGTGAATCATGTTAATTTGCTTCCTTTGTCATTCAATAGGACAACCCCAAGAAAAATCTGTGGGAGCAAATTCTAGACACTCAGAAATTGATGATAATCTCACCTGAAATAATCTAGATTTACTCTAGGGAAAATAAGTTTTCATTTGTCTTAAACTCTAAAATTAATCTGTGTGGATACACAGAAAAAAAAGAAACTATTATGAAACCAATTAGAAGGGAAGAAGAAAAAAGGGTAAGATGGTTTAAAAATAAAATCCTCCAAGATGGATACTAACTAAAGCTCTATATTGTGATTTCTATAAATTCTTATCCAACAGTTAATGCAGATTCCTTCTGTACACCACCCATGCTAATCCACTCTATAATTTATTTTGGGAGGTTGACCATCTACTTCACTTCTTTCTATTCCAGAAATTATATCAGGGATGTTAAATGATTTACACTTTCATGCTTCCCATTGATCCCTAGAAGAAATAAATAAGTTGAACACACTGGCAAAAGGATGTTTACCTGATCTAGATATGGTATTTTGAAAATAAGTTTGGTAGTTCCAAGAGGATTTTTTTCATTACATATAATATGCCTTTGGTTCCTGAGAAAAGCAAGATGCTTTTTAATTTCATGTAGCAAAGCCTTCTATCAAATATAGGAGACCATATATACCACACACTAGAGAAAATGACCAACACATTCAAATTTTTCAATGCCTTAACCATAGTATCATAATCCAACCAATATTTAGGTCTTTTTCACTTAGGTGGAGATTTACAACATTGTTTTATAACTTGAGATTTGCAAAAACTTTGTTTTAAAAAACTGACCATTAAAAAAAAAAAAACTGATCATATCCCCACTGCCAAGTACTCCCCACCTCTCTCATTCCCTGACTATTTCAATTTTACTCTAGCATAATTGATATCTAACTAGCTGATTTGCCTTGTGGTTTATCTATGTCCTTGGCCTTGGTTGTCCTGATTGTGGACAGCTAATTCAAACAACGACCAGAAGACAAGCAGGAGAAGCTCTGTCTGTCTTAAGTCTACTGGGTGATCTTTTCAAAAAGGATTTAACAGGAGAAAAGATGAAATGTTATGATCAGGGGAGTCATAATTTACTGTGGAATTTAATTCTCTACAATCTCATTATCTCTCATTTAAAACAAAACCATGTAAGAATGGTCCTGTGGAGAAAGCATCATTGGTGAGCTTGTAATCAGAGCTTGACGGCTCCCTCAACAATGCATGTGGTGTCTGGGACATGGTGGTAGAGTATATATCTATATACTGGGGTGTCACTAGAGCAAAGACTATCTGCGAATTCCCCAAGAGGCAAAAGGAGGATGAACTATAGCCCTACACAGATTTGGTGATAACAGTACCAAAAGACTAGAAAACTTCAAGAATCTGGATTGAAAAGTATAGTAAAATGCTTTTCCCCATATAACAATGATTTGGGGGAAACTGGATCAAATACATCCTAGAATTGCAGCTTATTTGTGACATCAGCACTTTGTAAGTTTCCATGGACCTGACTTGGTCTCTTTGTCTTCAAATCTATAGCATAGCTTTGTTATAAACTCACTTTGCAGTTTGAGTGACTTAACTGGAATAAGGTGGTCCATCTTTGTTCAATTAGAAGAAATACTTTTTCATACTTAACAATCTGATTATGCTCCTAGAAACCTCTACTGTAGTGGGTAAGGAAGGGGAAGAATGAATGTGAGTAGACTTGCCTCTAGCAGAAAAAGAATATGGAAGATACTGCAAGGACTTGTTTGTAGTCTATCTTACCTCTAAGTCTTATTTCCATTGAGTGGCTAGGATAGATAGGGTATTGGTGCTGGTGTGATGTACTCAGATCCTAAACTCTAAGTGCTCTCCTTAATGTTGTTGAAGTTACACAAATAAGTTGGCAACCATATCTCACTTCTAAAAGCCAGTTTTATGATGATTGCCAACATCACGGATGCCAGTTGGTAGAAAACACTGACAATCTGGTCACAGAATCAGCTGGCCCTTTGGGCCACATCATTAAAAACCTGTTACAAAACATGCACTTCTTCATTCTCTGCCTTCCCAGCTTTATTGTAGCTCATTTTCCCCACAGTCACTGCTATCTAGCTATGACTTGCTCTTTTTCCTTGCCACTTCAAATCTGAGGAATTCATCAAATGTTAACCCCAGTGTGGATTCATCAAAGGAGACAGTAGAGCCCTCTGATAGTTAAGAGAACTTGTACTTTGCCCTATTAACATATTTTGCCTATATAAAATGCAGTTTCTTCAACCAGGGGTTCTCACTGATTGTGAATGAAGGCTGAATTCCCCAAATCCCTCCGGCAGAAAACTGCCTCTTTCTTTCCCATTTAAAGCAAATGTCCCGAAGCTGGCAGTCACTCTCAGGAGACAAGGTGGACTAGAGTCCGTTTTGCCTGCTATAGTTGAAGTCGGGTTCATCGAGCTGGGATTCTGTAATGTTCGAGAGTTTTGTGTGTGTCCTCCCAATCTCTTCAAGGGCACAGGCCAGGGAGTCAAGGTCACCATCGTGCTGATGACGAGCTTCCCACAGGTTCAAAATGACAGCAGATGGGCTACTTTGTGTAGCAAAATAAGATAAATTCCTAGACAGATTAAAAAGAATAACAACAAAAATGAAAATACAAATAAAGGAACAAATACAAATCCTGTAAGGGAATTAAAGATGAATCGTAATGGATTTTATTACAATAGGAGCAGAAAGCCCCACTAACACATGAGACTGGGACAATCTAATTAGTATTTCAGTATTCACTTAAAACTGTATTTGGAAGAGACCTTATCCTCCCAGGCTTTCCTTAATCCCCTCCTTGCATTCCTTGTGAGTATGGGGTGTGTGAGTGTTTCTTTCTAGAGCAATCCCCTTGAAAAACACCATTAACTTGTGTGATGATGGAACTTCTATTTTTAAAAATACCTGATTTCCCCTTTTTCTCTCTATCTTGGTGAACATAGAACTGTCAAGATTTATCTTTAATTTCTTCTTCCTTCCTTCCTCAGTGGGTCATATACTAAACAGAGTAGTTACCAATTCCTAGTGGACAAAGTATCTAAATCTGTACCTCCAATCTTACAGGTTAATATGACCTACTTATAGATCTCTATAACTCAGTGTATCAGAAATTGATATCTCCATCTATCCAAACTGGAACTGTAACAAGTATTCCAGTAATTGTAACCATCATTCTCATCGTCACTCCAGGAAATTTTTAAAAAAAAATATTTATGCATTCAAGAACTGGGGTATATAGGCCAGAGGTGTGGGGGTGAGAGGATTCACCAGAGACAGAGTGGGGAACAGAACAGGCAGATCTACTGAAATACACTGCTGAGGGGAACAGTGGGGAGAGAGGAGAGGTCTGCTGTGCCATGTGGGTTAGCTCCCTGGCCAGGGATCAAACTCTTGTCACAGTGGCTGCGGATAGCTTCATAGTGCTGAGGCTTAACCCCTTGTGACACCAGGGAGGCCCAGGACATTTATTTTTGACTCTTTGTTTCTTTTGACAGACTCCTCATCTTTACCCTTTTCCATTCATACTTATAGTAGTATAATTACCATACTAACAAAAGTCTTATAACTATCTCCAAACTTTCTAATATACTCTATATTCTATTTGTTTAATCATCAGGTACCTACTTGTTGCAGATGACTTCCTTGTTCTGGCTTCAACCTAGCTATGGGAAAACATATGGCTATATATATATTCTTCTTTTGCTCTTTGAGCCATTAATGCTGACTTAAGTAATGCTTTGCTTTTTGTTTTTATTCAATGTAATTTCTCTAAGAATGCTCTTGTCTCTGTTTATCAAGATTCTACAGTCCTACAGTGCTTGGTTCAATTTTCATCTCTTTTTGCTCAAAATGATTCACTTCTCTAAGCTCTTTCTATGCCTGTGCTTAAAATTTCATATAAATAAATGCTTTTAGATTTTATATGCATGATCTTTGCCTTCCCAGTGTAATGGCAGATACCTAAAGGGGAAAGATCCTTGCTAACAATTTTCTCATTTGGCAACAGTACTTATCATAAAACTGTGACAGGTATTTATTCAATAACTTTTGACTGAGTAATTGATTGCTAGGAGCTTTTTTCCCAGAAGATAGGGATCTTCACTGAAAACAAATGGTAACCTTTTAGACAATAACTTTATAATGATGAAACTAAGACAACACAAAGGATTAAAGGTCAGTTTTTCATAGATGCTTTTACAACAGGGATAGAAATGTCACTGTTGGAAAAAGTGAGTTAAAGATTTTCCAGAGTCAACCAAAAATTGCCTATTTTGAGGATGGTACTATTTTTCATCATTCATGCCAAGTATAAGAATCACAAAGTAGACTCACATAGGGACAAACACTTGGAAAAGAAGACAAGCTTTTACAGGCACATTATCATTTAAAATCAGCACATACACAATAAATCTGAATGAATAAAGTGTTATTTTGTTCAAAGGTCTTAAGGGACTATTCAAGCCAGTCGATTAACAAATAGCGTAAGAATCAGTGTACTGTTTATATTTTCCACTGTATCTGAATCATTAATTGAGAAAGAAAGTCAGCTTAATAATCTTTCAAGTTTTGTCATCTTTCCTTCTGCCTACCCCCCTCCCTGCTCATATTAGAATCTAATAAATTCTTTATTTTTACACTAACAAATGGGAAAGCAGATCTTACTTGAGTAGCTGAAGGGGAGTCCTAATTCCCCTTATTTCAGATCTTTGTTTTAAATTTTGCCACTTATTTTTGATTATGTAGAGATGTTTGTGGGGGAAGAGGGGATAGCTGCAGATCTATCAACAAACTGTCCTACCCCAACTAACATCAGGCAGGACACAAACTGAAGGAATGACTGAGAAAGAGGCAAACTGAGAGACAAGTGGAATGGTCTCTGAGAGAACTGTTCATATACCTTATGAGAAAAATGACCACAGACATACATTATTTCCTGGCATGGATAAATAATGCTTTGTGTCTCCTATTGTTTCAAAAAAGAGACATCATGACAGCAAGCACCACAATAAAAGCTGCAAAGATTTCTCATCATTTTCTTAAGGGTTTATATTTCTTATTTGCTATCAAACAATAATGGACTGGTCTCGTATGAAAGAAACTAGAATCTTTGTGATTCTGTTAACCCCGGAGTTACCCTTTTTTCTATATTGGGGGCTGACAAACTATTTCTGTAGAGACCGGACAGTAAATATTCTTGGAGCCACATATGGTCTCAACAGCAGCTACTCAATTCTGCTGATTGTGGGAAAGCAGCCTTAGACAACATGTGAGTGAATGAACATGGCTGTGTTACAATGAAACTTTAGAGACACTGAAATTCCACTGTGATGGGTTTTGCATGTCATACAATATACTTCCCCTGCCATTAAACAAATGCAAAAAAGTCTGGGTGGCCTGATTTGGCTGTGCACCTTAGTGCTCACTCTTGATACTCTTATAAGTTACCCAACTAGTTTGAGAGATAGTAGCTAAGTGAGAGAATGAGGCTGAACTTTCTGTTTTGTGCTGTATTTGAAAATGTGTACTTAGAGGGTCCAAGTTGCTGAATCCCTGGACTATGTTCCCTGCCATAAGCACAGGGAGAACTTTATCCTGGATAAGCAGCGTTTGGGACCTTTAACATTTCAAGACATGACAGGAAGACCTGGGCATGAAGATGTAATAGTAAAACTTAGAGACATACAGATGGTTTAGAAGTTGTGGTGAATCTTTGACCACTTGCAAATGAATCAGTGGGGTGAGGCGGTACTACAAATACCCCTGTTTAGAGGAAGAGGTGCAACCCGGGAGGAGAATGACCCCTGTCAGCTGCTTGGTTCTGAAAAAGTCCTGCAGATGTCCTGATTTGTAGAATAGCACACAGGGCTAAAGGAAGCTAAATGATCAAAATGCAAAAATGTCACTTATTTGGCATAGGCCTCTGAAGTATCTTAGCAAATGAAATGTACTCCCCAAAGCATGGTTCAGACTTATTTTTTGCAATAAGCACAATCAACATAAAACATACACGTCTCAAATTCCACTTAATTTTACTAGATGCCTATCGGCCATATTAAAGTGATACAATCAGCTTTGTGAGAACTATAGACAGCCTATTAGACTATATTTAAATCTATTTACAGCAGGATAATATGCACATCTAAAATCCTAATGCAATAGGGTATTACTCAAAGATAGTTGAACTATGTTATTGTTACATGTACAGGGAACTCTTTTGAATGTCTGAAAATTGGTACACTTTGTATCCATGTGGCTATCTACACACTGCCCTTTTGGAATTATGATTCTATTCTGTGCCCATTGAGGCACCAATAAATGCACACACAGTCCAGGGAACATTGGCTACACAACAGAATAGAATTCATAGCAATTATTGATGTTCAGTGATTTCCTGAGTGTCTTTCTCCCTTTTTTTGGAAACAAAGTGAGAACATTAGTAAAAGCAATAATCGTGAATATTCAGGTGAGATGTCTCAAACTTATTTTTTTTCTCTTTGAAAAATGTATTAAAAGGTAAATGTTTGCAACATTAGTCTTAGGTGCTTCAAATTGTTACTTTTTATGACTGAATTTCAGGGAAAGGTTTTCAGTATTTTCAAATTCTGATTCTGAGGTGATTTGGAAACCAAGCTTATGTTTTTATTTTTGGTGGCATAAAGATATCTACATGCTTCCTATTCACCTGAGTAGCAGGTCGGGCTTGTGACAAACTTCATGATTAATTGTATCTTTCTGAGATTCCCACTCTCCACCTTTATCCTCAATTAAAACTCTGCTTTATGTGGGGCCTCCCTGGTGGTGCAGCGGTTGAGCGCTGGGTTGCAAAGCTGCCAGAAGCCTCTGTGGCGCCGGTTGGATCCCCGGCCGCCAGAGGAGAGTCCCCCATAGCACGCAGACCCCTCCTGCCGCCTGCTGCTCCCCTGAGCAGTGTACTTCGTCACTCTGCCTGTTCTGCTCCCTGCTCTGACTCTGGTGAATTCTCTCACCCTCCCGCGCTTCTGACTGTACCCAGTGCTTGTATAAATAAATAAATAAATCTTTAAAAAAAAAACAAAAACAAAAAAACAAAAACTCTGCTTTATGTGGAAGGCAGGGCAGAACCGAGATCATGAATCTTTACCTTAGCAATTTCACTAGCCAGTCACAGGCCTACTTAAAATTGTGGAATAGCAAAATGTTATCGAGAATCTCAGCTTTCAAAATATAGCTTCAAACTAATGATGTTAAACTAAAAATGAAAATTAGGTTAGAATGGAGAATAGAAACAAGCCTTCTTGTTTCCTTTTTTGGGTACAAAGAGGGAGAGTACACTTGAGGGGCCATGATAAAATTATGTCTTATAAGATCTTTAAGCACAGCTGCAACATAGGCTCTTCAGTAGCTGGTGTCCATTCAATGTAAATTTAGAGATTCTACCCTTTCTTTAGTGCTTGAAAGCTCTATCCAAGTGCAAAGTCTCGGAAGATTTAGATGTCACTATTCCCTGTCAGTTAACAAAGAGATTAGATAAGAGGAAAGGAGGCAGGCAGGGCCACGCTGTCTTATACTGGAGAAATACACTGAGTTACAGAG